GGTTTGAACGATCCCCCTGTGCGAAAGACAGGCAAACGGTCCCTACTGCTTCAGCTTAATCTGTTTAATCTGCCTAATCCGCTCCACGCCGATTCCGCACGCTGGCGCGAATGTAGCCCTTTATCTGTAGCACTCGACTATAGTAATTCATGCGTTATGCGTTACCAGCCCCCAGAGCGTGATCGTGAGTTATCCCGGGGGAAAATTTGGATATATCTCACGATCCGCGATTTGAATGATATTTTTGAGCGGGCGAATTAGCACTGTTGTACGAAGAAAGCATTTACTAGTGACTGCATTTAGTTCGCGAATTAAACATAAGTTTTAAAAGAAATATTTGAACATATAAGACCGTTTTTTAGTAAAGTAAATGTACCAATAGCCGGATGTTTAAGCGTAGATTGTCATAAATAATACAATTTATAATATTAAAAAGTTTTTAATATAGATATTTGTATTCATTTGAAAACTCAAGATTCCCTTAAGCAAGGAAAAATTATTTGAACCCACTTATATAACAATTATTAATTAAAATATTTAAATAAGTAATAGAATGCGTCCATGTACCAGTGGCCGAACAGCTGGTCGGACACTGGGACGTAATTGTCTCAATGTTCGACCACAATTAGAAAATTAGTGTGCTGACGGGAAATATTAATATAAATAGATGTTTAATGACAAAAGACAACTAATTCAAATTGGTCTTTAAGGTAAAAAGCATTAATATTAATTTAAATAAATAAAGTTTTGTGTAACTGTCCAGAACTGTACAGAGGTACTGTCCGATCCCAGTGATTGGACATGTAACATGTACCTTTGTCCGGACATTTATATAATACTTTATTTATTTAAGTTAATAATGGTCTCAAATGTGCTTTTTAAAACATAATATTATAATTTAATTGTAATTTTTAAATGCAATTAAATTATAATACAGTAATAAAAAAAGCATTTGAGATTAATAATAATAAATTTTGTGTAAGTATCCGGACATAGGTACATGTACAGACACTGGTTTACCTTAATATGTGTTTTATCGATTACAATGGTATTATTAGGCCTGTTCTTTTTGGCTGAACTTTTGTACCAGTTCTCTCCAGGAGGAAAAAAAGGAAGGAAGATGAACTAGTGCTAAAGTTCAGCCAAAAAGAACAGGCCTATTGTATGTGACGTTACAATAACAATATTGCGTAACGTTATTGCGCGATTTTTTCCCATGTCATCAATCTTTGAGAGAAATATGGACCCGACAGTAATCGACATCATGCTTCCGACACGTGTGAAAGGGTGTATCCCCCTAATTCAATTTCTGACATTTAAATTAATTTAGGGCGCTGCACCATTTTCGGGTCGATTTGGCTAATTCGCCTCACGATGATTTGGCTCACCGCCGTAGACCTCAATTTATCCATATCCGTGGTCGGTGGCTCATACTCCAGCACGTCCGTACACACTAGCCTCAAGAGACACTAATTATCCCCACGTGGACAACCATACTCGAGGATAATTAACACGTCGCGCGCCTATTAGCCGTTTACATAAAATTGCATTCGCCCGAGGTCAACATTAACAATTGATAATTAATCGACCGGAATAAATATTAACTGCAAATGTTGACCACTCCAGATATCTCTTGTGTTTAAGAAAATATTATTCCACGAAAGTTGTTCTAATAATCTATTGGAAAGTATAATCAGATAATTCAATGTTTTTAATAATTTAAAATATATTGGTTTGATTGCTATCATTTATCTTAATTCATTAAGAGAATTTATCTTAATGACGATATCTCATATAGCATTATTTGCCAACGTTACATATAAAAGTTTTTTAGAATCTGATAAATTTATGATATATAATTAATTATAATTTTAGAATATTTTTAAATCATATTAAATAAAATATTTTTTAAAGACTTATAAATCTTTGTCTAAAAAAGATATATCTCATGTAATATGATATCAAAATACTCTATTTTTTATAATTATAATTACGATAATGCATTTTTTATATTGTTATTACTATCCATGAGGACACTAGACTGACTGAGATTCCACATGACTGACCCCGATATATACATTTATATATATATATATGTGTATATTTATACATATATATAGATTGAATCTTTAATTGCATATACTCGAGAGATATTTGCGTATATTTTGCCACTTGAGAATAGCATCTACTGTGAACTTTCACGAAATTAATTTTAAATCATGATTTTATTTTGCTCGGTATAATTGGGTTAGCATGTAAATATGCCATCCTAAGAAAATATCCCGAGAAAATTCCAGATTAAATCTGTTATATTGTAATTTTTTAATTAAATTTTCCTTTTTCGCCTTAGTAACTTTCTTCTTTCTATTTAAAGACTAAATATTTTAGTCTTTTCGCAGACGTAGGTATGCTACGCCGCATCGCATTTTCCGTTGCAAATGTAATTTTGGGAACGTGCCTTTCATAATATAATAAATTTTGGCACATTAAATTCGTTTGCTGTTTCAAGGAATTTATGAACCTGCTTTCACAATTTCTTAAATTAATAAATAATTATTAATTAAATTATCAGTTAAATTATTATAAATTTTATTGTATATATTACTACTATAATTATATGAATTTATATATTATATATATATTTAAATATATACATATATTATAAATAAAGGTAGAATTACTGAATTTATTATTCAACTGTCGCTCGTGTTGCGAACATGTCTCGCAATAGTGTACGTAATCATACAGTCTATTTACTAACTTTTATTTCTACACCCGATCATGCCCCCATTATTCAAAGCTTTCAACAAGCCAAGTGGCGTAAACAAACGTTCTCGATTTCGTGAAGCCGGACACTTTGGGGCGATAATGGGCGCGTTGTTGTACGAAATGGGCATTACATTAGGCGGTCTGATTTTCAGTTTAATGGAGTTCCGGAAGCGTGAAGTTTAATGGAAACAGTGAGGTCGCAAGCGCAGCTGCGAGCAACTCTCCTTCTCGGGGGGGTTGAAACTGGCTCTTGATAGCCACTCGTGAAAATGCTTTGCGAGAAAAATAAAATGACGCATATACAGGTATTACGGTAATTGTATAAACGTATTTTAACTGCAAAGACTATACGTGACAAATAACGATTCGGATTGTTTGAAACTCTTAAGATAATATTTACATCAATATTATCTATATAAGAGCAATATTAAAATATCAAGAATAAGAAAAATATACATACAATAGATTAATTAAGATTCATTAATAGTAAGAAAATTATGTTTTCAAATTTACATTGAAAAAATTAAATTGAATTATATTTCTATCATTTTTTACGTTGTGCAAATTATCTTTTATTTTTTATGTAAAATGGATTGACAAATCTGTTGGAAGCATTAGCAAGTGTAGATTACGTTATTATAAACGCTCAAAAGTCAAAGAAGGAAAGGAAGGTTGGTGAGAAAATGGCGAGGGAGAACGAGCTGCGAGAGGGTATATATTGGATTAGCGACAGAAGTTTGGTAATTAAGTGGTAAGTGAGGCCGAGTAAGGGGAGGAATTTAGTAGGCGAGTCATCCCTTTGCCCTATGGGAAAGCGGAAGTAGAGGTGACACGAGTCAAAGAGAGGTCGGAAGCAGAGAAGTGGATGAAGTGGATTCAGTGAAGCAGGGCGATAGGATGGACTGTAGGCAAAGATAATTAGCGAGTTAATATGAGTCGTTGCCCCTTGAATTTCGTTACCGCGAGTACCATGCTGTGGTTACAAAAAAGATCTTAAAAGGTCTGAGAATCTTTGAAAATCAATTAAATTATTCATGTTCGAACGGTGTGTAATCTTCTCGATATTACTATTAAAATAGTCTTAGCTTAAAGCGGTAATTTGATTTTAAGACTTTACTAATTATCCGATTTATCTCCGTTCAGTGAAGGATCGTTAAAACATTTTCATCTATTTAAGATTTATGTTTAAAGTACTTGTAAGATTTTCTTCATAATAAAAAATCTTATAAACTTTTTAAAATAATCTTTGCCATAAAATACTTAACTGATTCTCTGGTGAAAAAATTGTAAAAATATCAGTTTGGCAATGAAGCGGAAGATAGTCTCACGAAGATAGATTCGATGTTTGCAGGA